CAGCAGCATCAGCAGCATCAGCAGGAGCATCAGGAGCAGCAGCGTGCAGGAGCAGCACCAGCACCAGCACCAGCACCAGCAGCAGCTCAAAATTTGCCTTGCATCGCCGCGCTAGGCGCGCCTCCATCAAGATTCAATTGCGCTTCTGACTGATTCAGAGTCCGCAAATCACGAGTGCGCGCGCGTTTGTGTGTGCATTCACATTCACATTGGTGATGATTCGCGATCCACATTCATCAGAGTCAAGAGTCCACATTCCAGAGTCACAGACAGCAGCACGGTGAAGCAGTCAAGTCACGAGTCGCGAGAGCCGCTCATTGTGATTGTGATTGTGATTGTGATTGAGCTCTGCTTAGCCTCGTGCCTTTGTACACTTCTTGTTGAACCCCAAGAGGTCCCCGCATCATCGCTCGCCATTTCATACTCAACGCCATACAACGCAGCTTGAAGATCGCCAAGGGTGCTGTGCTCCACCGCTGCATTTTCCCTTTCACTTGTGCACGGCCGTTCACCATGGCCAGCTCTCTAGCTTCTCAGCTTTCGCCAGGAGTCAGCGTCGAGCGTCGCCCTTCCAGAGCAGCGCAACCTTCCTCACGCAGCGGCACGCCAACCCTCACCGGCGGTCCATTCGGTGCGATAGGTGGTCATCGCGGTAGCGGAGCCGCTTCACCCAGCCCTCAAGCAAGCTTGGACTCAGTCTTTTCATCCGGTGGTCTAGGCACTGGCACTGGCACTGGCACTGCAGACCTGCTCAATCGCCCCAGCCAAGGCTCTCAGTCTGGTGACGGCGCCGCGAGGCGACTGGACAGGGCTGCATCACCCTACCACTCAGCCAGCCTGAGGTCCCCTTCGCCCAGCTTTGTCAGCGCCTCGTCTCATCTACAAATGCCATCAAGCGAGGAAGCGAGCGAGCCTGCCAGTATGCCTGCACTACTAGTGGAAGACAGATCGCCCGACATCGACCAGACACCTCGAGCAGATCTCGCAGACGCATCACAGCGACCTGCCATGCGCAACATTCCCAGCGCTGCTGCCCTTGCGGCTTCTACTGCGGAAGAGACGGATGACGATGCGGACCATCGCGGCGCGAGTATGGTCGGTCAGCTGGTAGATGGTGACGAGGATGAGGCGGAGGAGGAGCTACGGATGACCACGCGTGTATCCTCCAACATTGCCGACTCGTCAGAGGTGACAGCGAACCCTAGAGTGATGAATGCATCGAGCAGCAGCGGAAGCTTAAGTGGTGGTGCAGCACCTCACCCATCAGCGCGAAATCGCGAAAGCTCTGTCGGAACCCCCGTCAGCCCTGCAGGATACGGCTCGGTCAATGGCCAACAACCTGGCAACGCAAGCTCGGGAAGCAGCGGCAGTCTCAACACAGACAGCTATCCATTCCCAGCAGCCAGATCGGTGCACTCGCCATCACTCGCTTCCTCGGGCGCCTTCTTGTCACTGCCAGCCGCGAACTCCTCCGCTCAACCACAGGGCGGCGCACCACTCACCAGTCTGACTATTCCCCACAATATCGGTGCTACGGGTAGCTCGACCTCTGTCGCCGCTACACTTGGCGGACCGCCCAGCAACCCGGCTTTCTCCCCTTTTGGAAGTCCTCCTCACGATCGTCCCAACTCTTCAAGTAGCATACAGTCGCTACCGTTTGCTTCTCATCAGAGCTTAGGTCACGCAGCAGCAGCAACTGCTACTCCGGTCACTGATGCGCACACCGCGACTTTCGATGGCAATCGCGGTGGTGTTATCGGCACCCCTAACAATGCTAACGACGCTTTGCTCCGATCCTCCCCCTTGTTTACCGAAGTTTTGGATCGCATCATCAGGCTTGAGGGCGGCCTCAAGGATGTCACTAGGACCCTAAGTGGGCTGAGCAGGAATGTTAGCCTTTTGCTGGATCGGACTCGGCACATGCACCAACCGCAACCCCAGGGCTATGGACAGCAGAGTTACCCACCACCAAGAGGACAGGCGCATTCTCCCCTGCCTTTTGGCGATGCCAAGTCCGCTGCGGTCGGAACCGGGCAAGCACAAGACGAGGTTCGTTCGCTCAGTATGCAGATGAGCGCACTGACTGGGAGCGTAGCGCAATTGCTTGCTATTCAGCAAGGACAACAAAGTGCAGGTAGTCAGGGGGCTCCGTCGCAGCATGCGCCACCAACTCAAGGATTGGCGGGACTCGGTCTAGGCCCCGGCAGCACGCCACAGCTCGGAGGCAACATCTCCACGCCGCAATTAGGAACCATGCCTGGCACGCCTCACCTGTCGGGACCAGCTCACGGACGTCCAAACTCTATGCACCCCTATGAGCGCTCTGTCAGCCCTCGCGTGGGGGGTCCGGGTCCGCCGCATGGCATACATCCGGGACATGCATCGCAAGTCATGAGTGGCTCGGAAAGCAGGCTGAGCCCTCGCCCAGGAGGAGGGGCAGGAAGCAACCCGAATCGCACGAGTTGGGGGGCGGGACCACCTGGTAGCCAAGGTTCTCAGGGCGGATACCAGGCGCCGGGGCAAAAGGATTCTCTGGGTCCAAACGACCCTCGCAGATGGAGTGGAGTAGGTCAAGGTGCCTTCTCGCCTGCTCTGAACCCCAACATTCGCCGTGAAAGCATGGGCACGCCTGCACTTGGAGCTGCGCGCAATGGCACTCCAGATATCGAGTCTACTGGTAGATTTGGCGGACCGGGTGCTCACGTCGGATCCCTCAATGGCCCGGCGGCCAATGCTGGCAGCGCCTTGTCCATGGCACCTCCCGACGCCAACGTAGTCGTGACGAAGTGGGAGCACCTCAACCTACACATGGATCTGCTTCGGTGCATACTCAAGTACGGCCTCGGACCGCCCAACAAGATTCAGCAGAGAGCTTTGCCTTTTCTTCTACGTGGCAGCGACATCATCGCGCAAGCCCCGCCTACGCAGGAACGCATCGCTAGCTACGTCATCCCTGCCCTGCAGCTGATCTTGAATGTGCTCCGTGGAGAGCCACAGATTGCGAACAACAATACACGTGGACCCATCGCAGTCATCATCAGTACTACCGTCGACCAGGCCACGCAAGCACAACGTATGGCTCTGGGTCTTGGAGCAGCACTGGGCCTGAGGGTCCACATTGCCGCTGGAGGAGGGATGGAACCCACTCAGGAAGCGAACAATATCGTCTCCGGTCGGCCTCACTTGATTGTTGGCACGCCTCAAAAGATGAACGAAGTCTTCCATCATCTCTCCCTGAGAGGCTCGAATGTCATTACGCTTGCCGACATCAGACTGGTTGTCCTCGACGAGGTCGATCAATTGATCGCAAGGAATTTGGCGGACTATGTCTCTACTCTTTTGAGGGCACTGCCACCTGCCCGAGGTGGTGCACCGCGAAGCGCGTCTGGCGACGACCTTGCGCGCAGTCCACTTGTATCGCCCGGATTGCCGGCGAGCTCCGGTCCAGGACATCCATATACTTCGTCGGAGAACAGCTTGAATACTGTCGAAAGGCAGACGGCCATCTTCTCCAACACCGTCCCGCAAGACGTTTTGAACTTTGCTCAGTCCATCCACTTGAGAGAAAGCGTCAGGGTGCTTGTTCGTCGTGAAGGCAGCGGAGGCGCGCTGCTCGCCACGACAACATATGGTAATCCTGGTTCAGGCTGGAATGCGGTCGCCTCTGGTGCCGTTTCTTCGCCGAGTGTGGGCTCCGGAACGATGGGACTTGGCAACAATCACGGCAATGCGCCCACCTATCAAAGCCCGAACCCTCAAGGTCAATCTGGATTTCCACCGCTTCAGATGCACTCCCAACAACAGCAGGCTCACAACTTTGCTAGCGCTCATTCGCAACCGCAACATTATGCCCATGCCGTCGGCGCGCCGCCTGCTCAGAACAGTGCCATGACCGATTCCATCATGGCGGCCCTACGCGGACTTCGACAGTACTACGTTTATGTCGCCATGACAGAAGGAAGCAGCGGGAAAGCGACGCCTTCGCTTGGTCAAGGAAGCTTCAATCAACATGGCATGGAAATGAAATTGTGAGTCTGGATGCGTGGCGCGCGACTTGTACTTGCCTTTGATAGATCCTCGCCTCTCTCCCTTCAGGGACGTCATTACGGACCTTTTGGAGGACATTGATTTTGGACAAGCGGTAGTGTACACTTCTTCCTCCGCAAATCTGGAAGCTGTAACGTACAAGCTGGCCAGCAAAGGCATCGAAGCGTTGGCCCTTGTGAGTAGGCGCGTTGCGAATATTGTTTGAGATATGACCCGCGTCTGATCAGAGTCACCACATCAACATGCTGAACCGCATCAGTCCAAGGAAATGGCACCATCCACGCGTTCTGGCGTTTTGGCCAAGTTCAGAGGAGGCAGCACGACGGGCAACGCTTATCAAGCGGCTTCACATGCGGTGGTTGGCGGGCCGGGCTCGGGAGGCAACGTGGCGGGCAGGAAATGTCTTGTGGTGCATGACCTGGCCGTCAATCCTAGAGATGTTCATCAAGTGCCTCTAGTAGTCTTCTATGACCTTCCGAGGAGCGTCGAGGAGTATAAGGAAAAGTGAGTCATTTGACCAAGCGGGCCTGCCTGTGCGAGCGCCGCTCATGTGCACATCATCCAATCTCCCCGATAGAATCTCTTGCGCTGCTTCTGCAGGCGCAAGCGCGGGACTGGGCAGACCCAGCGTATGTATCAACGTCGTCACCGGCTCGGGTGGCTCACGCGGAGATGTGGAAACGCTGCGCTCCCTGGAACTAGCACTGGGATGCAAGATGGGTGAGCGGCTTGGGCATGTATTCTGCTGGTGCGAAATGTGCTGACAAGTTCTCATGATTGCAATGTCGTCTTCTGCAGCCGAGTTGCCTATGCACCTTGGACAGATCCTGAATTTTTAAGCAAGCGCTTTCCGAATGATTTCGTACCGTACATGCAATGTTCTCCGTCGCGCCATCGAACTATGACTCGCAAGCGCCATGGATCTCGATGACGACCTCATGACACCTGTCAGACCTAGATCGCACCAAATATCTTTCGACATCAAGATCAACATGTAGCTTTTGACACACCCGACGCTTCAGAAACTCGCACACACTATCGATACGGAGCCCTTTCGACCCGCACAGTTTTTCTTTTTTTGACTCGACCAACGAAGCATCCGTTTCATATTCGCAGACTCGCTCAGCTTTTGACGCAGCAATTCTACGCATCTTCACCGAGTTCTGCGGTCTGGCGCGCGAGAAGATGTCCGATGTGGAGTAAAGTTTGAGAGGGGGGGCAAGGATTGTATTCGAGCACGCTGACTTGCATGACGTCGTGTACGTACAACGTGAGCGCATCTCAGGGATTCAACGAATCACGATATGAAGCCCACTCCACTCCACCTTCCGTGTTTGCTCAGCCCAGCAAATGCGTCATCATCACCTTGCCCCGCGCTTTTCGTGCATCCTGCAAGGACCACTTCGTGCCGTGCCGTCCTCACCGCCTCTTGGCGAATCCAATGCTCAACTCTTCTCCACTAGCAAGCTTGAAATCCCTCATCTTTTCCAGCGCCAATGTCGCCTCTTGCGTCCCAGAAAATTCGACGAGCGCATACGCCGTTGGCGGCTTGCGCGATGCCTCGGCTGGGAAATGCTGCAGCGAGACGTAGCCTTTTTGCCTGGTTGGGGGGATAGGGTGCAATGCGACGCACGGAGCGTGCACAGACGTCAGCGCGAGTTGCTTTGTGATCGTAGCGAGATGCGCGCCCTACTCCGCATGATCAGCATCGTTTTGTGCAGTAGGTCTCCCTATGTCCGAATTTCTACGCCTCTTTCGGCTTTGCTTTTCGCCCCAGACATTGAATGCGATTTCACACGCCGTATCCCATTTCCGCGACTCACTGGCTGAACAAGACTTCCAGAGCTTCCTGCGTAACCTTTCCGGGTACATCTCCGCAAAAGAGAACCTCGTTGGGCACCTTTCCTGGCGCGGCCAACGGCGCTCCCAGCGCTTTGCCGTTCCTTCTGCTCTCTTCTTGCGACTCGGCATCCGAATCCGAGTCCGAGTCCATTTGCATAGCTGCGCGCGTTGCACAAGTGGAGATAGACGATCAAGTTTCTGAGATCTGACTGGGCTGGTGTCGAGCTCGTGACGCTTGACAAAGACTCACCCTCACCCTCATCGCTGTCACCCTCATCTCCCTGCACCTTCTTTCTCTTGTTATCCGCCTCACCTCCATCGCCCACATTTGCTTCTAACTCCCTGTCCCTCTTGCCACTCTTTTTTGATTCCGCCTGAGCAGAGCTGATCGTCACTTTGCCCGGTCCGGGCACGCTATTGGAGCCACTCGCTGTGCTCAGCACCCCGTTGGAGCCCAGCTTGGCTTGGGAAAGCAAGACGGGATCATACAGCGCTGTGGGACCGTGCTGATCTACCAACGTGGCTTTCGAGATGGTCCGAGCGTATTCGATTGACTGCAAAAACGAATGCGGAGCTTAACCTCCTCTCCAGACACATCGCACAAGAGAGCTCGCGCTGCTTCCTGGTGTCGTTTTCCGATCCCTTTCGCTCACTCACCAAGCTCCTGCCATAAAATTCAAGCCCTTCCAGAGCTCTGAGGGCTGTGGTAGCGTTGGCCAGATCCTGAAAGACGACAAACGCCTGACCTCTCATGCCATCCGCCCGAGTCGCTACCACATCTAAAACTTTCCCGTACGCATTGAAGAGGACGTACAATTGTCTTTTGAGCTCTGAGAAACACAGAAAGAAAGGAGGCGAGGTCTGCATGAGACGAATAGACGGAGACAGCAAGGGGAATGTGACTCACCAGGTTTCTTTATCCGATTGTCAAGATTCCGAACGAAGAGCGAAGGGTTGGGAGCATTCTTGGACATTGTGAGTCGCCTACTCGCTGCTCGCTGCGTGTACACGTGTGCGTTTCCTTGCACGGGCTAGCGCAGGGATTCGGGGGTCGCACAAGGGAGTGCTCGAGAACGAGAGACAGATGGTTGGGCTATGGCAGCTGCTAGACTGGATGTGGCAGAGGAGTAAGAAGGATGCGGATCATGAGCGGGCAGGACAGAGGCACAAGCCACAGGCTCGCTCGCGTGCATCAGCACTCGTGTATCTGTGGGATCGTCGCGTCCGCGTCTGCTCTCGTACGATATTTTGATAACTTGCAGGAATAATCATAAATTCCAATCAGAATGCACTCAGCACAGACTTTTTGGCTTGATTCCAAATTACAAGCAAATCTCGGCGGCTTGATTTAATTGATCGTTAATACACCGCCGATATTCGACATGTAGCTCGTCCCTTCTGACACCCTCCATTCTTGATTGTGAACGACACCAAACAACGTCAGCGTGGCCACCATTCTTCTGGCTGACCTGACACTTTGAGCCTTTGCTCCACCCTGGCATCCAAAAGCGCAGCCTAGGCGCTCACGGCAAGGTTCATGCCCCTACCACCACGTCCATCGACTCTGGCAGCACAAGCACAACTCCAGCAATCTCGAGCAGCTTCTTCGTCTACAAGCAGAAGCCATGCGGCCGCACCTAGCAGCTCTCCCTTGCGCAACCATGCAAGCGCCTACCCTATTGCTGCACTGAAAGAAGAGGAGGATGGCGGGAACGCCAGTCACAGTGGCGCGATGCAATGCGATCCCTTGAAGCTCGTGCTGGACTCGGACCACACGCACATGCACGTTGAGTCAGTGGCTGCTTCTCCGCAGCACCGCACGAGGTGCTATCTGAGCGCATCCACGATCAAAGGCTATGGATTCAAGACGAATCAAAAGGTATTGATCGTGCTGGGTCGATCGGGCGAGGAGGGCAAGATGAATGGGACTGGGACGCTAACGGAGGGCCAGATGTTTTTTATCAAGCAAGTATGGCCTTTGAATGGTCTTGCTTCCGACTCTGTCTATCTTCCGCGGTATCATGGCTGGCAGGAACAAGAATCGCAGGCGTTGCTGGCGGAACACGGCAAGAAGGCGTGGGTGGAGCATGATCGAGCCTCGTTGTATGCGCTTCCCTCGTCAGCTCACGCTGCTCCCGCTCTCACCAAGCTGCGAGCAGAGGTCGTGAGCAGGAGCGAAGCGCATACACATCGCCTCCACAAGGAAGAGAAGGTTCTTTTGCATGCCCTTCTGACCATGCGACTTGGTGAGTGTTGCGTACTTATCATCGAGACAAGCCTCTTGAGCCTTGTGGCTCGAGCGATGTGCTACAGCTGTGGTGAGTAGTCAGCTTATTTAGCCTTTTCGCCTTCGTCTTCTCCACCGTCCCTCTTTCACGTAGAGCACCAAAACCTAATCCTCCCTGATCAAGAGGAAGAATTTGCAATCGGTCATGCGCGATTTGTTGTCCGCCTCAAGTTCGACGAGCCAACTGGAGAGCGGAAAGAGGTGGTGGGAGGCACGAGCAGTCAAGCTAGGACATCTCAGGCGAAAGACGTCCATCCGCTCATTTTCTCGATCCGGAGGGTCGATTCACAAACTCGGTACCGGATATGCATTCCTCCAGCTGACTCGGCACGCGTCAGCTCAGACGTTCCAGCACGACGGCAGACTGCGTCGATTAGTGGGGCCGAGGAAGCGAGTGCAAGCTCAAAGAAGGCGTACGAAGGACTTGGAGGGCTGGACGCTCCCATCGAAGAGCTCAGAAAGCTCGTAGAAATGCCTCTTCTGAGGCCTGATGTCTTTCGAACTTATGGTGAGTCTTGCTAGGATTCGGCGGACCGAGGATGTATGCTCTGACTGCTCATTGTCGAGGGCATCATTCACCTGTATGCTCCGTGCTCTTGTACAGGACTTCGACCGCCCAGCGGTGTGCTGCTTTATGGTCCACCCGGCACAGGCAAAACATCCCTAGCCTCAGCGTGCGCGCAATCTTTAGGTCTGTCTTCAAGTTCCATCATCCACCTCTCTGGTCCCTCCCTTTCCAGCAGTCTGCACGGTCGCACCGAATCTCGGCTTCGCAAAGTGTTTTCGACCGCAAAGAAGCGCGCTCCGTCGGTGATCATCATCGACGAAATTGACGCATTGGCTCCTAGAAGGGAAGCAGGCGCGGGCAACGATGCAGCTGGCGAGGTGGAGAGGCGAGTGGTCGCGACCCTGCTCACGCTCATGGATGGGCTTGGGAAAGAGGAGGAAGAGGGAAATGTTATTGTCATTGCAGCGACCAATCGACCCAATGCCCTCGACCTTGCGCTGAGAAGACCTGGAAGGTTAGATCGAGAGATAGAGATTGGTGAGTCGAGTGGCTGTGGGAGACCTAGCTATCTTCAGAATGGGGCGCCTGAATGTGCAGAGGCGATTGCGCTAACATTCACTCGCTGGAACTCATCCTCCTGTCAGGCGTTCCCACCCCATCTTCGAGGTTGTCAATCCTGAAGGTCTTGTTGCGTCACGTTCCTCATGCGCTGAACGACGAAGAGGTATCTCGGCTCGCACACAGCACGCATGGCTTCGTCGGAGCTGATCTGGCAAGCTTAGTCAGGGAAGCCGGAATGTTGGCTGTCCAGCGTCTGTTCGCGTCGACGTCATCTTCTACTTTCAAAAAGGCACCCCAATTTATCGAAAGTGCTACAGATTCTTTGCGCGCTTTGACGCTGGCTACCTCGACCACCTCAGGGCATGAGAGTGAGGTGCTCCCCAACGTCGATGCGAAAGAAATGCTGGAAATGCGCGACTTTACCAGTGCCAAGCTTCATGTCAGACCGTCGGCTCTGCGAGAGGTGATTCAGACTCTGCCTACGGTTTCCTGGAACGACATAGGCGTGGGCTCCCCCGACTCCGACTCTTATCGAGTTCGCAAGGAGATAAGAGAGGTGGTAGAGTGGCCCATCAAAAGAAGCAAACAACTCAAGAGGATGGGCGTCAGACCTCCCAAGGGAGCCTTACTTTATGGTCCGCCTGGATGCTCAAAGACTCTGATTGCTAGAGCGCTGGCGACGGAAAGTGGAATCAATTTTGTGGCTGTCAAGGGCAACGAGGTGCGCAAAGCTTGAGACCCGTCCCGCGCCCAATGCGCGGCGCGACCGTCGACTCGGAAAGCGCTCTGCGAATGACGCTCGGTCTGACTGCCGCCTAATCTGCCACAGCTGTACAACAAATTCGTCGGCGAATCCGAAAGAGCTTTGAGAGAAGTGTTCGCACGGGCAAGAGCTGCTTCGCCGTCCATAATCTTCTTTGTAAGTTGCCGCTGATTTCGGGGGGTTTCCCAAATTTCTGGATATGTACCAGCGTTGTTGACCGCTTTGCGGCCTTTGCGACTTTCTCTCCGTCGGCAGGATGAGCTCGACGCTCTTTGTTCCACTCGCGGCGACCAAGGAGGGGCAGTGTCCGACGGTGTCATTGCGACATTGCTGACCGAGATGGATGGCGTGGATTCCCTCGATGGCGTGGTCGTTATAGCCGCCACGAACCGACCTCAAGCCATTGTGAGTGCAGGGAGAACGACTGCAGAACTATCACATGTCGATCAGAGTCTTCTGACCAGCGACATTTCGCGTTCCGAGCAGGATCCAGCCATTTTGCGACCCGGAAGGCTTGATCGATTACTCTACGTCGGTCCACCAGATGAAGACACGCGTCTGCAGATTATGCGGATACGCACGCGCTCAATGCCACTCGGAGGCAATGTGGACTTGCTAGCTATTGCGCGAGCTGTGAGTGCGACACCGAGACTGTCGCTTAGAGTGCTGCACTGGACTGAGCTTTTCATGAACACGTCTCTCACGCTTTTGTTGTTTGCAATCACGCGCTCCAGACTTCTGGGCACTCGGGAGCGGAAATGGTGGCTATATGCCAAGATGCCGGTATGGCAGCTCTAGACGAAGACATGGACATTGAGCACGTGCATCAGAGACACTTCGAGAGCGCCATTCGTAGCACCAAGAAGAGAATCTCATTAGAGATGATCAAGGGGTTGGAGAAGTGGCGGGACCAGGTAGGAGTCTGAGTTTAGGGACTCGGCTCTCGCACGGCCTTAGCTGTGTGGCACCGTGGTTCAGGAGGTACTTCCTCATTCGGACGGCACTTCGCTCTCATGTTCCAGATGCAGCTGGGACGCGCGATCAATCGAAGAAAACGCAGAACCTGTCATCATCAGCTCGATTCGCTGTGGGCCCTCTCTCAGCACGCTTGTCGACCATCAATTTATCTCCACCGAGCCTCTCATTGAGGCCGTCGACTCAAAGCAGTGGCCGGACCTTCGGAGCCCTCTTCTGCACATGGTTCATTTGCTTCTAATCTCCGGCTAGCCGGGCTCCAAGTAGCCGGTCAAGACACGCAGGAACAAGCATCTGACACCACGCTCGCGGCGGCTACGATGGCATTGAGAAGGCGCG